AAAGTTTTAATTTTGAGTTCCTTTGAAATATTTTCAAATAATCTATAAAAACGATGAGAAATCTTTTATAGTTTATAGAACTTGGATTTTCCCTAATTTAAGTTGCTTAGATTATATTCTCTTGCTATTAGCACCAAGGCATTTCCTTGTGTAGGTTATTCTCCCATTCAAAGTATTGCAAACTCGTTCTCAGGGTGTTTGTAAATAAATCTATAATAATAACAGCTGACATGCACCCTCTCAGCGACTTGTAAATTGATCTAAGCTGTTTTGGCTTTGGTTTTCCACTTCGCTATTGAATGCAAATTGCGAGTGCATCTTCACCGCTCTCGGAAAACACTCTCTGAATTCGCTGAAACCAGGTAAGCGGCTAAAAATACTGAATGAAACGCGGTGAGACGCTTCAGGTGAGCTTGGGCCAATTGGCAAGGTTAGCTTAGAATAACTCACCGCTTAGATTCTGCTGGAGCATTAGCAAAATCGCTGCAATCGCTAATTTGCATAGCCAGGGGGTGGTTAAAATTGATTGGTGCATTGTTTTTCAGATGCGTTTTTGTGGTTGCGGCTGCAAATCGTTTGGCATGCTCGTGTAATAAATTGTAATTGATTTTTGGCTAGTACACGGGTCAGCCTCGTAGACGCATTACACGAACAGGGCTATTTATACACTGGCTTTTTGCTTGTTTGCCTGTTTGCTGGTTATGTTTGGCACAGTTTAACACTTTCGGCACGTGCACGGATTGTTTGCCACTCAATCGCCTGCAGATTGAACTATTTGCATATGCAAATGGGCCAGGACCGAGAATCCGGGTCCACTTCAGTTCAATTCTGAATCCTGCCCACTTGTCATGAAATATAAATTAGCCCGATGTGGGTCAGTCAGCATCGTTGTGCTAATTACTGCCAAACACGTTCATACTCGGTAAAACATTATTTATGCATTTGTTTTGAAAATATCGCGTGGCTTTGGCTTTGACTTTAGCCACCTCCATTAGCCGAATGCACTTTGTTATATCTGTTTATTTTATTTAACTTTAATTTGCTGGGGCGATCGTTGGGGCAGGCGCACGTCTGACTCGCGCGACTCTCGACTTGCAAATAGCCGACTCTGATCTGGGCTCTCGGTCGAGAGATCCATCCCCAGAGTCGCAGGTTTCGGAGCGCCAGGTAGACCCGGAGACTCACTCCGAAACGCTGCGTATGTAAATGATATGAATGCTTCTGACGCAGCAGCCGCAGTACACTGTGAAAAACAGATTATTTTCGATTCAGTGAAATATTTAAAAAGAAAATGTTAATTCATTGATAATACTTTATATTAGTATCCTTTTTAATGTATTGAATAACAAAAAGGTCTGAACTTGATTTTTTACATTTATTATTTTATATTTACATTTAATTTGTTTTTGTTCATATTAATTACTTCCTTTAAAAAATACATTTTTTTTGAAAATTCTTGTGTTTTATAGTGGTAACCAATTATAACTATTTAAAGAACATCGAAATTAATACCTACTTTTGAATTTCAAAAATGGAAATGAATAGCTTTTAATCATATGAAAGATAAATAAATTATAAATGATGTAATATATGGAGAATATTGATTTAAAAAAAGAACTTGTTCACGTAAACCACAAGCCTTTATCAAAACAATTTTTTTTGGTGTTAACTCAATAAATATTGAAATTTTGAACTTTTTATTTAACATTTACAAGTGTAATTTTTGGTTGCAAATTTGTAACACATTTAGGTATATATTTCAGGGATTTGGACATATCTTTCAGTGCATTGGGAAAAATATTCGATAGAGCGTCGACGTCGCGGCTAACCGAGCGTATGAGAAATTTCATGTCAGCGTCGTCGCGAGATTGCTGATTAGATCGCTGGAGTGTGTCGCGGGCGGAGCAGCCACCGAATTGCTCGCTGGCTCGATTTCAATGTGCAATAAACAAAACTATTTAACGCTTGCGAAGGGATTTCGACTGGGGGCAGGCGGGGCAGGGCGAGGTCCCATCCCGGGGCATGGTTCGGTTCAGGTGGGATTGGGATTGGGACTGGGATCCATCGAACAGACAGCACGTCTAGCCATGCATGCTGTCTTTCCGACAGTTTGTTTGTTTGCACAGTTGCGCCCAGCATCGCTTGTTGTTGGATTCAATGGCACTTTTAACAGTTCAGTGGGTTTGGCGTTGACAACGTTTGTTTCCCCTTTGTAACTGCTGCTTCCGAATGACAAATGGCCGTGCCGTTGGCCCCTATCTTGGCTGAAGTTGGGTTCTTACCTGTGGCAAGAGCAAACGGGCCAATTCCGTCGTCAATTGTTTATCGTTAATTAGTGGCAGGTAGCCTTTAATTAGTGTGTCATCAAAGGGCCTCCCAGTTGCGCAAGGTATCGGCAGTGTGCGATTTGCGATGGCGAACTGTGCGTGACCTTTGCGGTTGGCACTTGGAACCCATTGGCAAGTTGGCCAAGGTCGACGGCGCTCTATCTTATTGCCTGAGCGACCGAAATGTCTTGGTTGAGCGGCGATATGGTTGACATTAGGGCACATGCGATTACCAAATTTAATGAGTGAAGTCAGACTTGAGAAGGTTTTGGAGAGCGTGTGGTTTTGTCATACAGAATATTGAATAGTTGACAGCCTGATAAGCTGTCTTTACTAAGGCCTAGTTTTTGAGTACTTCTCATTTACCACAATATCTAGCAAACTATCTTAGGCCATAACACAAATAACTAACTTATTTAACAAAACTTAAAGTATAACTTAATGCAACAAGAAGTACATAAAGCAAACTTTGAAAGTAGCTTTTCATGAAATTAAATGAAATGTTCAGTGTTTTAAACAAATAATAAATCCAGAATTAATTACTTAATTATATCTATCTATTAGTCTTAAACTTCAAAACTAAGTGTTGACTAAATTTAGTTAAAGCTATAATGCATTTTATAAATTTATATAATTGATACCTTTTGGTCAGCAGTTTTAAAAAGGAAATATTTATTAGTTTTAATTTTGATTATAAAGAAAAAAACTCACTGTATTTTTGATGTGTTATTACATTAAAAAAAGTCTAGAATTAGCACATAAATCAATTTAAAAAAAAACGTAAAGATACTCCATATAATAAAACACTAATAATTATATTGTAGTCACAAACAATTTCATGAAAATAACGCCGTCCATCAATAAGATAAATTCAATATATAAACCATTCCAAACGTCACAAATGAAAACTATAGCAATTTCTTGAATTTATTAACAACTGCAGCATAAATACCGCCCCGCCCAGACTTTCGTTTTCGCTGTGGACACACTGCGTATACGTAATAATTCATAGGCATTGCACACGACATGCAATAACTGCGCAATAATTGCCCGTTGCAAGCAGCTGCAGCATTGCCCCCTTTTCCGCCGACCCTGGACTATAGTCCACCCCAAAAAAAAGGGTTAAATAATGCGAAACATTCGGTGGCGTGACACGGATCCAGAATGTTGCAGCAACATCGCAGGACAAGGGGCAAGTTTTAATTATTAACACCCTGACTCCGGACACAAAAGCCTGCAACAACAGCCGCTGTGAATTTATTTCAAGTCCCACAACACTTTTACGTATTCACCTTGAACTATAAAGTCCTGAGCCAGTATGTGCGTGGTGTCAACAACAAGAGCCAAAGTGACGCCTGAATGACGCATAAAAATAAAAGTTACCAACTGCATGCAACAAAATAGTAGCACATATCAAAGCACTAATTAAAAATGCCAAAAAGTCATGGTTATTCCGGGTGGGGGAGGACGTAACAATGAAGCACCCATAACCGCCACCGTCTGGGTGACATGAAAGCTTTTCGGCCTGGTTCAGGCCCAGCTCAGTCTGGCAAAGGGGCTTCAAGCTGGCCGAGCAGCCAGGCGTAGCATGTGCAACTTGTCGCATTGTCTGATTCACAGAATTATGCAAATGAGCCGACGCACACTCAGCCGGGATTGTTTATGTTGGCCAAATATTTAGCCCAAGCCAACTAGTCAAAAATCTTGGCACAAGAACAATGATTACACACAGAAAAAGCGAGGCATTTAAAAGCAATATTTTTTTTATTGCAAAGTGACCTATTCTGACAACGATAAAGGGTTGAGAAATTGTTTTTACTAGTCAACATCATGGACTCAAAAAACTAAAAAGTAAAGAAAAATTTTTTTCTCCAAAAAAAGTTAATTAAAGGTTCCTGGTTACTAGTGTCTAGCTTCAAATAAACATTACTTCCCTTTACAGACAAATTAATATTGAAATTTAAGAGCCATTTTCCATGCAGACTTATTTTCTCTGTGCAGCTGTTAACTTTGAGTGACTGACTAACTGACTTTGCTAAGAATGTGAGTGCAACTTTGCCGGGGCACATATTACGCTTTATATGGTTCAGTGTGTGTTGCTTAATTGTCGCCGGGAACTTCCGTTTTGTACGGCATGCAAAGTTGCCGCCGGTTTCAGCACCCTTGACACCGCTCTTCGGGTTATATGGCTGTATGGCTGGCTATATGGCTATATGGCGATATGGGGACCGTTCCCCGCCAAACCAACTAGCGTGTGAACTCGTTGGCGTTGGCGTTGACTTGCTTTGCTCCATTTAGAACACCCCTCCATCCCCCCACCTAAAGAGTCATCCCCGCCAAACTAAAATTTATTTAAATCTGTGCCATAATTGTTTTGGGCGCCTGTTGCGCGTCGCCCTCGTAGAGTTCTTCTGGTTTTCGTTTTCGTTTTTCACTAGTCTGTTTGGCTTTTTGCTGCTTGTGTGCGCATAAAATTAGCACCGTAAATTTATTGTTAGTCATTCGCATTCTTGCCGCTTTTGTGTTGTTATGGAGCCCGTTTAAATGTCACAAGTTGCCACAATTTGTTTAATGGCCGGTCAACAAAGCAGTTTGCACGCGCCCCGAAGTCAAATAAAAGTTTGGCCATAGATCCTTTACCTGCTGGCGATTAATTAAGAAAATAGTCCACACTTGAATTGCATTAAATAATATTTATTGATTTCATCATTCCATATATAAACGAATTGTAGTTGGTAGAAACAAAAACCTGTGCTATCGAACCAAAGTAAATGTTATTTTTTTAAATATTTTCCAAATGCATTACGTACGTATCATGTAGTTGATTCTATGGTAAATTAATATTTATGAGTGGTACAAAAATCTAACCGAAAATACAGAAAAATTATATTTGTAAACAGATTTTGTTAAAAATTTTAGTGCCAAAGGTGTGTTCTAAATGGGTTTTCGGTTTCTGTGGTGGCTGCCCATTTGGCTCCCTAGAATTAATACAATTTGCATAATAATACACAAGTTCATAAATACATACATAAATACAATCGTAATCGTAGTACATAGTCAGTTATAGGGTGTTCACCACAAATAATTTGTGTTCGATTTTGTCATGATCTTTGCTTTAAATGCAGCCGAAAACAGATATTTTTCTCCACTCTTCGCTCGTTTGCAAATGATTGTTATTAATGTTCTTTGTTGGTTATAAATTTTTGCTATAATTAAAAGGTTTATTTATATGCATTGGTTTTGTTTACTACAATTGGCTATATAATTTCGTTTTTTTTGCAAGCATTCTTAAGTTTTTATCCTTTTTGCTCATAAATGTGTTAAAATTCCGATTTTAATTCTCATTAATTCTCTCGACTGGAAAATATCAAAGGGCGGAATTAAAAAAATTGGGGATGAGCTTCGGTCTGACGATCTGCTGTTGCTGCCACTTAATTATGCCTCTTATATACTTACATGTTAAACATATTATATATTTATTTATATATGCATGTATAAGCGAATTGCCGTTTATCGAATCTCTTGCTGAGTCCTTCCCTTACGTTAATGTCGTATGTCCTACGAGTGTGTGGAAATTTCAATGCGCCTCCGCGATTTTGGATGCCCAAAAGCACCGGAGTGCGCGTGTATGGGGTGTATGGGTGTGTTACTGACAATCGGTTTACATAAAAGCAGGTGCTGAGTCTCGCCCTGGCAGGTGCTGATACAAACGACGTTAGCCTCCTAACAAAGCCTTGCAAGCGCCGGATCTCTCACTATATATCTGGTAAGTAACACTAAATGAACGCGATTATGTTTCGTACATATGCAACTATGAGTTCGCCTCCAAAACCCCACTCAAACTACTCTCTTTGGCCGCACGTTCCTGTGTCTCGTCCTTCGATCCCTCGATCCTTGGATAATGAAAGCCCTGGAGTCGCTAGCCTCTGCCGATGGTAGGTTGCCTTCTTCTTCGTTCGTATTCTCATTCATTTCAAAAACTTATCACATAAATTTTTATATATTTTTTTTGGGCGGAATTCTTAGCGTGTGTCGTGTTTTGCTTGCGCGAAAGCAGAGGAGGACATATGATAGGGTCTAATTCTGCTGCGAAAGGCTAAAATAGACGGATTACTGGCGATAACTGAACGGAAGTCACCCATCCGTGCAAACAACAGTGATAACAAAGGAGAAATCGTGGCTGACTGGGCTGTGCTGATTGACTGACGAAAAAACAAGTAGCTTGAGCATCGGATGGGTGGATGTGTGTGGTGGCTTTGGGTATTCTTTTTTGTTCCTACTGTTGGCATCAGCGATTTGCCAATTTGCGTGCGATGCGCCTTCAACTATGCTACAGTTTCTCTTTGGTTTTCGCCCCTTCTGTTCGTCTGGCTCCTTTTAGTTATCCTTGGTGGCATGGTGTGTGTGTATGTGTGTGTGTGAGTGTTTGCTGCTTCTGCTGTTTGCTATACGTAGTTCTATTCAAAAACGCTTACTTGGCTACTGCACATTTATGTTTCTGTTTTCGGGTTTGGGTTTTCGCTGCTGCGTTTGCTTTTACTTCCACTTTTGGTTTGTTTGCAATCATAATAGTAATAATAATATTAAGTTTCTGTTATAACGCTAGCTCGCTGATTGGATGCGCCAGGGCCCAGGGCTATCGGTTCGCCAAGCTGGAGCTGTTGGGTCGCTTAGAAGACCAGCACTTGATCGGCACTGCCCTCCGCGCTGTCCTCATCGTCGGCGCCCTCGTCCTCGTCGTCGGATGTGAGCGATGCGGCGTTATTAACCACGGACTCTGTTTGGATTGGACATGAAATTAGAATGTGTGCTTGAATTAATGGAGATTCCCCGCCACTAATCTAACCCATCGCCATACTCTGCACGTCTAATGGCGGTCAACCGCAAAGCGTCCTTGTTCGTTATTTTTGAAAAGGACGAACCGGCCATCTCATGTGTTATGCATGGCGTATGTGTGATATTAATAGGAAAACTCAATTACCGATCCCCTGGTAATGCCCGAACTGACCGCCTTTTCCGTTCTGCTCCTGACAACTTTAACAACCTTAAGTGCTGAGTTAAATCAGCTCGGAACGGAAAACAAGAGCACAAGGATGGGCCAAGTAAACGGGGCGGTAGAGATAAGCAGATTACGTATACGCAACGGAGTGCGAGCTGTTTTCGATACCGAAAGGCCGGCACTGCGGCAACGCATAACTCAGCATTGGGCCATAAAACCTGGCTTAAAGGCTGATATTTGGCTCAGGTGGCAAATCGTGGGATGGCTGACACAGTTCGATTGCCACGAAAATCGTTAAAGAAACACGAGAGTCGGTTGGCATATTTCATCGAACGGGATTGCGCATTAATTGGCATCGACTGTGAACTGCAGGGAATGCAAACCACTAAGGATTACTTCTGCACATGTGCATTTGGTTCGCATAACTATTAGTTCAGCCCTTTATATTAGGTTTTACCGATTTCAGCATAAAATACATTTTTAATTGTCAGTAATATTTATAGGGAATTGGAAATAAAGAAGTTTATGTAATAAAGATTTTGCAATATGTGTTAATTATTTGTTTCCATATTTTTGTAAGCTCTATTTTACACCATTTATTTAGTCCATAGAGACAAAGTTTTAATGGTGGCGCACATATTTTGGACAGCTTTGCAATCCCCACATGTAGGAAGCATACAATTTGAAATTACTTTTTGAAAAGAGCGGTTAGCTTCGGGATTTAAATAAATGAAATAAAATGCAAATGTTTTAATGGCTTGACTTCTACAGTAAGTTATGCTGGTTAGTTTCACAGAGAAGTGTGATGTGAACTATGTTGGCCACTTCCAAGAGCGTTATGGAAACGTCAATTGTGTATGCAGAGGGTTAAATGCGGCAACTGACCAGCTTAACCCATTTCCACCGGCATTCTTCCCTGATTATGGTCTTTTGAAACTTTGCGGGCCTTTTGTTATGTGCCCCGCCAAATGTTCGGGTTAAGTGTTTATATCCTAAGCCCCAGGTACTCACCGCAGTTGGGTTTGCCGCGTGTGCGTGTGTTGGCGAACTCGACTCCGTGCTTGTCCACGCACCAGCAAACTCCCACCGAGTTGTGGCACTGGGTGGGCTTGTAGAATCCCTGGATGTCGCAGTCCGGTGCGTAGGCGCCTAATTGGTTACCGCCGTCGAGAGAGAGAACAAAGTGCAACGTTTTAGTGGGGCAACTTGCTGGGGCAGTAATGGGTGGGCTAGTTTTGGATTCAGTGAGAAGCGGCACAAGCAAGTTGTTGCTGGATCTATTTTGTTTCGGGTCGTGTGGCGGGCAAACAAAGGATGAAATTATACAGTTTGGGTATGCGAGTATATATATGTATGTATATAGTATAGAGGGGGTTTCCAAAAAGGCAAACACAAAAAGCATCGGACAGTGGCGGTTTCTACAGCAGGGGGGCGGCGGGGGTTTCAGAGGTTACGGAAAAGTTCAGTGTTTTTCTTGTTGTGTTAGAAGTGTTTAATTTGCTGGCTTAAAAGTTGAAGATATGGAAAAAAAAACGGGGCGGCGAGCACAAAACGAAAGTTAACAACGAAAGCAGCGCGAAAAAAGGTTACTTCTGTTAACTGCTGGTGTGTCTGTGTGAGTGGATGTTTGTGTGGCTGTGTTAATGCGAGTGTGTTAGTGTAAATGTAAGTGTGTCAGGGTTTCTATTTAGCTGTCAGGCGCTTAATTATAGTTTGAAAAAGGTTCCAACGCGTGTAAAGTAGGAGCAAAGAGTGTCAGACAAACAAAAACTAAGCGGGCAACAAAGCGCCGTCCGAAAGAGATGGCAGATAGCACAAGAGACGGAAACAGAGGCGGCGAAAGAGATGGCAAATAGTAGTGAAAGTGAAAGTGAAAGTGACAGTAACGAAAACCAACTGAAACCAAATTACTCTTCCCGCTTATCGGTTTATTGGTTTCTTGTTTTCGGTCTTGGTTTGTTGTTTCAGGTTGTTGTTTTTGGGGGAAGGGGATATATATAACTAAGGCCCAGGACCCCGCACAACTCATACGAATATAGAGAGAACATAGAAGTATTAGTGTTATGTAGCCAGAGAAATGTCCACCTGTACCTATCTCACCTGCAAAGTCGCCGGCGATTCTCCGGCGAACGGCGGCACAGGGACGATCCGTCTTCTCGAAGCACCGACACCATTCCCTTGTGTTGATCGAGCTGTCCGTGTCCAAGTCGCAGGTGTCAATGAACGGCTTGATGCACCGCTCGTTCTGGTCGTGCTCTAGGTCGTACATCTCCTGCAGCGACAGCTGGCCATCGTTGTTCAGATCCAGGTGGCCGAACATCCACTTCGCCTCCGTCTTGCAGGCGGGCGGGAAGTGCGCCTTCGACTTCTGGCTGTGCTGGCGCCGCTTCTTGCTGTCCGCCATGATCACCGAGAACCAGTCCAGCAGCCGGTTGCCGATCGCCGTCAGCTGCTGCGGTTTGCACTCCGCCGACTTCGAGGGGTAGGCTGTGGGATGATATTGATACAGCATATAAATTATTATTCAAAATGGTATAGTTTGTTAAAATGGGTGATATATTCCGATCTTAAGTGGAACTACATATATCAGTTAGGCTCCTTGGCGGTTCTGGAGCTTCACTTTCCTTAACATTTTTAATAAACCCTCTTATTCAATTTTGAAAACATCATCTAAGAAAATGCTTTTAACTAGGGGAAAAAATAGTGCAGTTCACTAATCTTGATATTTGATAAAATTGCTTTTGTACTCTAGATATTAAAATTTTGAGAAATTGTAAATGTTACAATCGGGATAAAAGTGGCGGGTCAATTTAAAAAATATTTTAAGATTTAAAAGTTATCTTTAAATCGTACATATATGTATGTATTAGGATATAGGGATACATGCAACATATGTATGGGGATGTTCGGGAGTGACTAAAGTAAAGTGTATATAAACAAAGTCTCACCGTTCAAGTTGTTGTTGTTCTTATTGAACTTTTGCTGCTGCTTCTCCACCACCTCGTTGTAGTTTCGCATCTTGCGCTTGTCCTCCTGGTATTTGGAATCCTGCCAAGTGAAAACCAGTTAAAAAAGGGGATACTAGATGAGATTTCCAGCTGACTCACTCCACTCACCTTCTTGTAGGCCGTGTACTTGAGGTATTTGTAGTGCTTGTTGTCATATTTGATCTCCTCGGGCGTGAATGTGTACTGGGCATTGATGTGGTTGTAGTGCCGGTTGTTGTCCTCTTTGTCCTGCGGGATACCCAAAAATTAAATGGTACACCATGCCCATATACTATGTATGTAGATGCCATTGACTTACATTCATGATCGTGTTAAAATCGTTGTTATTGCCGCCCATGATGTTGCCGCTTGACATCATGATGTCGTTGTTGTTGCTGTCCTTGTAGGCCTGCTGCTGTTGTTGTTGCTGCTGCTGCTGCTCCAGGTTGATCTTCTTGTTGTACTTGTTGTAGCCGGCAATGCGCTGCAACCGCTTGCCATCGACGCTCTCTGCAAAAAAGGACCAAGTTGCAAAGTGGTGGTCAGGAAATCGCTGAAACAGGCTAACTTTATGCATCGCGGCTCACTGAGGCATCGCCCCCCGTGCACTTGTGTTTTATTTTCCGGCCCACACTGCACTCTCTCGGCTGTGCAAAATTGAAAATTAACGTGGCTGACTGGCTGAGTGGTTTTCCGGGAGCATTTTACAATGGACGGTGGAGGAATAACAATGGCGGCGGCTACTTGTTCGCCGGCCTATTAAATATTTAACAAGTGATGTGCCGGGGCAAAAATATTTAAAGCCAAAGCCATTGTTTTGTAATTGGAATTTTTAATTGCCAGCTATTGCTGGAGAATCCTCGACCCAACAAATCGCGTTTAGCCGGCAGCTTAGTTTTTGCAGCATACTTTCATGGGCAAACAACTGGCGACTAAGCCTGTCACAAAATATGCAAGCAATTTATTTTGCAGTCAACGGAGGTCCTTCGTCCTTCCACTCTGGCCGTCTGCCAGGCCCGAGCTCATTATGCGGAGCATTTGATTCAGCTTCGAGTTGGCCGTGTTATTTGTTCCCGGCACTGGTAGTCCGTTTGTTATGGCTAGAATGCTGGAAAAAGAGGGGGACTCTGACTTACCCTTGCAGGGACAGAATCCTTTGCAGGCGATCCGTATGGACGTCGAATGTATGCAATTGTGATAATCCAATCTGCATAGTGATGAGTAGGTCCTGTTGTCGGCACCGCACAGGAACGTTGGCTTGGCCACAGGACATGGCTTGCAGTTGCTACAAAAAAAAGTAAAAACATACAAAAAGGAGCGGAGTTAGAAAGGCGGCAGAAATCAGAAAAGTAAAACTCAAGGGGGCGCAACGGCAACAAATAGATGACATGCAAAATTAATTTTTATGCAAATGAAGTCTGCGTCCTTCCCCCCACTCTTCATTTGTTTTTTGTATCTCTGTCCACATGTCTCCACCTTCGGCGGACAATTCGCTGGGCAGGTAAGAGAGGGGCTGGGCTTATACATTTATTTAAATATTTATTTAATATGCGCTGCACGCACGCCCAGGCAAACAGTCGAGGCATGAGATTGGCCAGGGGATTGGGGACAAGAAAGAGGCACAGGACGAAGCTTTATTTAATAATTTGAACAAATATTTAAACTGCCAGCCCCAAACGAAAAAGACTTGGGCTATTCATACAATCGCCGTACATGACTCCATTCCAACAAGATATTTGTACGTGACCTTTTAGGAGTGAACCCGTTATCCCAATGATTCGTTAAGTAACACTTCATCCCCTTTTAATTGCTACGGCCATTAATCTGCTGTCAATCAATCATCTTTAAAACTCAAAAGAAAATCACACCCCTCGACTCCCTCTTTTTTTTAATAAATAAAACCAACAAATCGATTATTTCAATTAATGGCTGCTACCAGAGTAGCTGTGCATCCAATGAAATAAAGCTTTGGTAGAAGTTTTTATCCGTTTTTATGTCGCTTTAATTGGCCTGCCACGAATTCGCTACCAACTGCTACGAGCACAATTCTCATTCAAAGGCCCTATTTCATAATTTTATTCAGATATACATATATATATATATAAACGCCGTTGTTTCGGCTCTACTGTTGAACGTTTTTTGTCTGGTATCAAATAAAATTTGCACATTTATTTGGGTGTGAACCAATTTCCCTAATTGCCTCAATTTGGGAGTCATAATTAGAGGATTTCATCGGGCTTTTGTTTTTAATTTTAAGAAGTATTAATTGAAAATTGGCCAGTTATTCGGGTCAAGCCTGGCTTTGCCACATTTTGGGCTTAACACATTCTTTATTGTTTTTGACACATATTTGCTTTTGCTAAATAAACTTTAAGCAAGGATAAAACCTTGGGTAAACAGTTTTTGAGAAGAGAAGAAAATATTTTGAAATTCGATGAAATAAAAGAATGGTTGTTAAATATATGTGCATATGTGTCTCTTAAGCTGGCCAATTTCACTGCAGAGCCAATGTAAATGTACCAATGGCCAAAACCAAAGTAAACATATTCACGGATATGCTTGTATGTATATACTTCACTTCCCGCTGTATGTGCTCACTGTTTTTAATTAAAAATTCCCTCGCATGTTCTTTTGCACGCTTCCGGTTCGCTCTGTTTGCCCTTCTCTGTCGGATTGTTTATACAAATTTAATGAAATTCTTAGGACCAAGTAAATAGTAAGACGAATAAATTTGATAATGCGATCCTTGGTCAATGACAGCGCCGATGGCATCTTGAATGGCCTGGCGAGCATCTGCGGTTGCTTTGTGCAAATTGCCCATCAAATGCCGGCTCCGTGTCTCTGTGAAAAATGTGTAAATTTTTACTCAAATATTTGCTTTCAATTTTGCAACCCCCATCCGACCGAGTTTTCGGGTCCTGGTCCTGGTCTCCCTTTGAGTGGTTTCTGTACCTGCTGCTCCTCCTTCTCCTTCTCCTGGAGCCGACAGCTTCATGTGCATAGACCACAAAACAGCTCAGTGGCTTCGAATAACTGCCAGGGACAGGCCCCACACACCAGAATAGCTGAGTTGTGCCAGCTTGAGGTATGATCCGAACTATGGTATGTGCCCTATCCAGGGGTGCCTGCCGGGAATCTCCAAAAACCTCTTTGGCAATGCACTATGTTCGTTTTATAGTTATTTGGCAGGAAAACTTAGTTATAAATACCTCCAAAATATAGAAAATACAACTCAAGAAAAGCACAAACTTTTCCCCTTGTTGTTTCTACCTCTGAATTAAATATTTGGTTGTTATTTGTATTTCTATTGTTTTCTAATTAAAAAGTGCAAAACTTTCTTCTCAAGTTAAGTTGAGAAAATAAAAAATCTATAAAATTGATTGATTTATCTATAGCTTTAAATCGATTTTGATCAAAATAAAAAGCTGTTTTAAAATTCCTGCGGAAACCATTTCGAGTATTTCCTATTTGAACCACTGTGCACTGGCATATTGTTGCAACAAACAATGCCCGTCTCACACATGAGTTATGGCCCGATCTCGTTCTCCTGCTGGTTGGGTGTTTGGGTTTCGTGGAGGTTGCCTGGTCTTTTGGTCTATTAGAAGTGCCACCTCCTGACTACCCTTTCACTGCGACAGGTCTTTTGTTTGACTTGCGCCTGAGTGGAAAGACGAGAACTGGAGCAGCTCCTGCTGCCATGATGAGTGGCAAATGCTATGGCTCAACTATTGATTTTGCCAACGGCGTGACACATTCATATTTCATGCCATTGACATAGATACACATATGCAAAGCGGGGAATATTCGTGAAAGCAAAATTGAAAAGGAAAATTCGTAAATATACATAAAAGAAGAGGGAAAATATGTCAAAAGCCATTGTTAATGTCATCGCTGCGAGCTGAAAAACGAGAGAATGTGGTTGGAGGCGTGATTTGCCTATAGATTGATTTTTACACTGCGTTGTTTGGCAAGTGGATTTTAATTCAATTACAGGCGCTTTGAGACTCACCGGAAAAACATCAACATAAAACTTGAAGGCAGAGCGAAATCCTTGGCCTTACTTGCTACATTTTTCCCATAATTTATTTACCCAAGTGCTTTCGGATAATTAATTTTTTAGTTCGGAATACACGTCAAAGGATCAAAACGAAAACTTTCCCTTGTCCCAATTTTTTACCACCACACAATTCTGAAAGTGTCAGGCAGCGAGCATGAAATTTAACTTTGTTCAAACAACTGATAAACAAGACGAGTATAAACAACAAGCGAAAACATTTTTATAACACTCGGCTGAATTTCAAAGGATTCTGAAGTGGAATGCGAGTCCTAGAAGTTGTCTATTGGTAAACAACTTTCAAGGAGCTTTAAGAGAAAATCTGTTGACCAGGCCTTGAAAATGTCATTTCATTTAAAGCTTTAAATATCTTTTGATAGTTACTCTCTTCATTCTAAGAATTACTTGTTTTTCTTTCTACTCATTTAGTAAACAGTATCATCATCACGAAAGTTGTTTAAAACTACTTTCATACTTTTTGCCTTGCTTTGAAAGGCATAATGCAAATATTATTGGTATAATTAACAAAGTAGTATATAAATAAATCTTTTTTTCAAAGAAAAATCCCTGAAAGTGTATGAAAACCTAATATTTCTCGAACATAGCCTAAAGCTCTTATATGTTGGCCAAATATTTTCACAAAGGAAATCGACTGTTTGCTGCCAACAACTTTCCTTCGCTTCAGGCAGGGGGAAATCGGAACCCTTTTCCTGTGGAAACCCAAGCCAATCAAGCCTTGACACCAACTCGACTTTGACTTCATTTTTTCAGGCTCTGCCGCTGCCACACCTGAACCTGCTCCTTGGCCCAAGGAACTGCCCTTTTTGGGCCCTTCTTGGAGGCACTGCTCGCGTGCCAGTCCACAATTTGGGTTAGGGTCAAAGCGATAACACGGAACAAGTCAAGGGATCCGACGACGGCACGCGTCAAAGGGTAAAGGCCGTAAAGCTGTCGTTGCGGCCCATTGAACCATTCAGGCAGAAGTATGCCAGCACCAGCCAAAAAGCCAACAACGATAGCAGCGCAAAAACAGGCCAGGGACCACCGCCCAAAGGCTGCGTGCTATGAATTGTACCTCTATAAATTTATTGCAGAATTTTTATACACGATAAAACAATTTGTTATTAGCATGGCGACCGTGGAAATCAGGAAGAGTTTGGCGTGTGGGAGGGGCGGGAAGTCAAAGGTGACCCGCACCACCCGCGTCCGTAACCCTTTTTGTGGACGCGAATTTGCTTAATGAAATGTAAAATCCCATTCAAAGGCAAATGCAAAAAGTTCGGCCCAAAAGCTAAGCAGTCGAATGTTACACTGCAAACGAACGAATTTGATAACTCTACACTGTCATCTACAATTTAAATATCGAATTTAAATTTGAATTATTCTATTTTGTCAAAAACTGAATATCCTTTGAAATTGTTCACTTTTCAAATCTCAAATGAATCAGTTTGCATAAATATCGTTTAATTAAAGGGGGTTGTTTGTTATAAATTTTTGTATAGAAGTCCAAGTATTCAAATATTTTTTCACTCCCCCAAAAACTCTATGATTTCTGTGGCGACGCAGTGTGTAGGTATTCAAGGTTTTGATATTTGAAAAGACAAATTTAATTCAAACTTTTTTTCCAGAGTACTCACTCCAACTCCTCATCATCGTCCTGCTGGATGGCGGAGGGGGCTGCGGGGGGCTGGGATTGCTGCTGCTGTTGTTGCTGCTGCTGTGGCTGCTGCTTATCGCCGGCGGCGATACTGTTCTCGTAGAAGACATCATCCTCCTTGGACTCGTCCTCGTCGCCCAGACTCAGGCTCTTATCTTCGTCGTCGGTCTCCTCGTTACCCTGGACATTGGCCTGGGCATTGTTGGTGATGCTGGGGTTGGCATTGCTGCTGCCGCCATCGCTGCTGTTGTCCTCGTCGTCGTTGTTGATGTCCTCCGCATCCTGGCTGTCCTGGTTGTCCTGCTGGTTGACACGCCGCTTCGCCTCCTCCTCCAAATACTTGGCCTTGGTGATTATCTCATCACTGGAATGTCGAATGGGGTGGCAGGGGTATAAGTTTAAATGGCCTCCGGCTCGGACCGCAAAATTTAATTGGCTCATCAGGATCAAATTCCCCGAGCCCACCTACCGATTCTTGTGGAGCTCCTTCTTCGACACGCACACGGCACTGAACTCGTCCTCCAGCAGGCAAATTTCACGCTTCTTGCAGTTCAGCGGTCGGCAAAGGTCACCTACAGGCGTGTGAATTTAATTTATTAATAGGTCATTGCGACAATAACACATTTTGCAGTGCGTTTTTTTTTTGTGAAAACTCAATTGACCACAGCCAAGGGGCAAATGGTGTGTAAGTCCTCTGCTTTACTCACTCGAGGGATCGTGTATCCAGCGCTTGTGCTCGCCCAGATTCTTGTTGCTCTGCGTGTTTTTGTTTATCTGGAAAATAAAGAACAATAAATTGCATGTGAAACATTTGCTAGTTTAATTTTGTTATTTAAATGCATAAAAAATGCAAAGCGCATACAAGCCAAACTGACGTCTGTCAAAATGCACACATGCACAAACAGAACCCATTCAGACTTGGTGAGGCATACACACAGCAAACACACAGGGCGTATGCGTAATGGCAGTTCACATGGTGTTTCAGGACAATATTGCATTTGCACTACAGGGGGAAAAGTTCAAAAGCAAACAGTATCGAGTCATGGGAGAAAAAATAAATACGTGATGGGTGGGGATGTCGAATTGTATGCCTTTCTAATGATGATCAATAGTTCATCTGTTATAGCAAGCAAATGAAGCCGACTAGCGTTAGATTCACAGATTAAATCTTGGAAAAATACCATTGTATTTTTTTCTGCCAAAGACATAAATTTCTTTGTAAAATTTAAAGAAAGGCCTCTGGCAGGGAAAATCCTATGTCAAAGGAACACATATGCAAATCTGATTGCATACGAAAAATATGGCATATTCTTGCCTTGCTTAGTTATGCGACACTTTGCCCGTTGCTGAGCAGATTTATTTTAATTTAATTCAATTTAATTCAGCACGCAGCTTAAGCTGGCTCTGAAAACCATCCCACAAATGATGTCTATTCCATCCACATACCGCTGGGCATTGTGAGGCGAACCGAAATGTTATTAAGTGCAATGGTGCGTATGCATAATATTTAACTTGTCTATAAAATTTATGACGCACTAACAGCATCTGCAGCAGCAAAAATAGCTGCTGCTGCCGCTGGTTAAATGGGGGAAATAAGCTACGAAAAATGGCAGAAAATAAATAACCAACCCCGAGTCCACGTTGACTTGACAGTTTTGCAATGGCGTCCGCCAGTGGCTTTGTATTTGGAGTTTGTGTGGCTGTTGCAGGAGCAGCTGATACTGCAATCGCCGCTGTCAGTTGGCTTAATGAAAGCGACAGGAGCGACAGGAACAGCTGAAAGCTTCGAGCCTGGCTGGTTGCAAATGCATTCTCCCTATATTGGCCCACATATAGAGGGCGTTTCAAGCGCGGAATTGCTCAAGTGCGAAGTGGCAATTGCGGCACACATCCACTGGAAACGTTGGGGTAACACCCATCACCATTGCCATCGCCATTGCCACCGCCCTTCGTCCTTTGGCTGTAATGCAATAAACTCGTCCAGGACGTGGACGCAGGCAATTTGCATGCGTTAAAACGCAATTTGTGCGCGTTTCCTGGCCGCGGCCGCAACGTTTCTGCCCCGGTTTACTCCTTTCCCTTTCCCTTTCCCTTTTGCCTTTCCCACCCTCATGCCCCCGGCCATCCGATGTCCTTTTCCAACCACTTTCCTCAGCCCCCTTTTAACCCACAGCAGCCGCCTCCTGGCGAATTCCGATGAGGCTCTTCATCGCACAGGGATCTCTTGCAGCTTTAATACGCCCTCCTTTGATTGCAGTGCGTGGCTACACTGTCAACAAATTAACTACAAACTGTAGCATTTCAGAATAAAATATATTTTACTATTTTTCGATTCATTTGTTCCTACTTATTATGGACCACATCACATGATCTAGGTACACAAAAGTATATATAAACCATAGGTATCTATGAACCATTTTAATGTTAATTATGTTAGGGTTTCCGATGACTTGTAAAAAGTTGACCCTCAATTGGACTTCTACAGTCCATAACTTTACCAAATTTTATCCGATCCCAAAGTGGCATACCTCTAAAGACTTGTGGGTTGATTCTCTAAAAATCGGCATTCAAAATTTTCATTTTAGCGTTGGTCAAATTTTTGACCCATTTTTATGTTAGTTAAGTTCCGATGTCTTGAAAAAGGGACCCCAATTGGACTTCTACAGTCCATAACTTACCAAATTTTATCCGATCCCAAAGTGGCATACCCTAAGACGTGGGTTGATTTTCTAAAATGCATTCAAAATTTTCATTTTAGCGTTGGTCAAATTTTAACCCGTTTTCATGTTAGTTATTTCTAAGTTTCCGATGTCTTGTAAAAAGGTGACCCTCAATTGGACTTCTACTGTCCATAACTTTACCAAATTTTATCCGATCCCAAAGTGGCATACCTCTAAAGACTTGTGGGTTGATTCTCTAAAAATCTGCATTCAAAATTTTCATTTTAGCGTTGGTCAAATTTTTGACCCATTTTCATGTTAGTTATTTCTAAGTTTCCGATGTCTTGTAAAAAGGTGACCCTCAATTGGACTTCTACAGTCCATAACTTTACCAAATTTTATCCGATCCCAAAGTGGCATGCCTCTAAAGACTTGTGGGTCGGTTCTCTAAAAATCTGCATTCAAAATTTTCATTTTAGCGTTGGTCAAATTTTTGACCCATTTTCATGTTAGTTATTTCTAAGTTTCCGATGTCTTGTAAAAGGTGACCCTCAATTGGACTTTTACAGTCCATAACTTTACCAAATTTTATCCGATCCCAAAGTGGCATACCTCTAAAGACTTGTGGGTTGATTCTCTAAAAATCTGCATTCAAAATTTTCATTTTAGCGTTGGTCAAATTTTTGACCCATTTTTATGTTAGTTATTTCTAAGTTTCCGATGTCTTGTAAAAAGGTGACCCTCAATTGGACTTCTACAGTCCATAACTTTACCAAATTTTATCCGATCCCAAAGTGGCATACCTCTAAAGACTTGTGGGTTGATTTTCTAAAAATCTGCATTCAAAATTTTCATTTTAGCGTTGGTCAAATTTTTAACCCATTTTCATGTTAGTTATTTCTAAGTTTCCGATGTCTTGTAAAAAGGTGACCCTCAATTGGACTTCTACTGTCCATAACTTTACCAAATTTTATCCGATCCCAAAGTGGCATGCCTCTAAAGACTTGTGGGTTGATTCTCTAAAAATCTGCATTCAAAATTTTCATTTTAGCGTTGGTCAAATTTTTGACCCATTTTCATGTTAGTTATTTCTAAGTTTCCGATGTCTTGTAAAAAGGTGACCCTCAATTGGACTTCTACAGTCCACAACTTTACCAAATTTTATCCGAACCCAAAGTGGCATACCTCTAAAGACTGTGGGTCGATTCTCTAAAAATCTGCATTCAAAATTTTCATTTTAGCGTTGGTCAAATTTTTGACCCATTTTCATGTTAGTTATTTCTAAGTTTCCGATGTCTTGTAAAAAGGTGACCCTCAATTGGACTTCTACAGTCCATAACTTTACCAAATTTTATCCGATCCCAAAGTGGCATACCTCTAAAGACTTGTGGGTTGATTCTCTAAAAATCGGCATTAAAAATTTTCATTTTAGCGTTGGTCAAATTTTTGACCCATTTTCATGTTAGTTATTTCCAAGTTTCCGATGTCTTGTAAAAAGGTGACCCTCAATTGGACTTCTACAGTCCATAACTTTACCAAATTTTACCCGATCTCAAAGTGGCATACCTCTAAAGACTTCTGGGTTGATTTTCTAAAAATCTGCATTCAAATTTGTCATTTTAACGTTAATCAAAATTTTGACCCATTTTCATGTTAGTTATTTCTAAGTTTCCGATGTCTTGTAAAAAGGTGACTCTCAATTGGACTTTTACAATCCATAACTTTACCAAATTTAAACCGATTTCAAAGTGACATAACTCTAAAGATTTGTGGCTCTATTTTCGGAAAAATCTGTATCCAAATTTAGTTTTTTAACGTTGATCAATTTGTTGGCCCATTTTCATGTTAGTTTTCCCTAAGTTTCGGATGTCTGATATCACTTTAATCATGATGTTAGTTATAATACCCTTGCAGAGGTTTGCAATCAAAAGTTTGCAACGCAGCGAAGGGCACATTTTCTACTCTATATTGTCCCCAAACAAATTTTTAAAAATTTGAAAATATTCATAAGGATTTACATCCTAACGTGCTGTATTGAGTCATTTCATTTTCTACAAAATGGAAAAGAGGATTATTTTTAGAATAACTTCGACCAATGGTGACCATTTTACCATTTAATAATCCCTGGTTTTTGTGCTCTGTATTTGGATTTGCTGATTGGCTTGGTCGGGAATCTGCCCTGTTTGCTGGCTTTAATTGTGCTGCGTTTGCTGCGGTGGCGGTGATGCTGGTGGTGCGGAAACTGGTTGATACTGTTGGTATCGCCGGCGTTGGCCATGCGATTGACCTTATTGTGGCTTTTCACGGGGGCCCGTGATAAACTTGTGCACAGCTGTGTGCTAAAAGCGGCCCGGTGACATGGCAGTTAAAAAATGCACCACTAAATTGGGTCAAAACAGCAGCTGCAAGTGAAACATAATGCAACACAGCCGGGCGGACAATGCAGGCAAGTTGAGAGCCTCCCACAGTTGCACCACCCTGCAGTTGGGCGAAAAGCGGAAGCACCATCCGTAACTTGGCAAAAGTTTGCCAGCCGTTTAACCTCTTTGCCAGATTTCTGGCTGTTTAAGTGGCTGGGCTTATTAAATCCCATTTAATTGGGGGTGCTTTAGCGGCGCCTTCCAGCAAAACTTGACCCTAATTTAGAAGTCCTACGAGGAATGGCAGAACTGGGACTTCAGAGGGAGTTCTGCGAATACAGCGCCCTGCTCTTGGGGAAAATATTTTGCGCGGTTTGCTGGGCAAAAGATAAAGGCGGCATTGTTACTGACGCCATTTTTGTTGCCACCATACTGCACCCAAGCTGCATTGTCCAGACCCACTGCCACGCCCCGTTCAGTCCCAACCCGCTGCCCGCCCCCTTTTCGCCGCAGTGTGGCAATCTGTCAAGCTTTAAATTGAATTTACGACTTTGTTTTCGTTGCGGGCTTATTTCATCTTCTTTTGTTTTCTTGTAGCCGCTGCCTCTGCAATTTCTTGCAATTTCTTTATTGTTTTTTTTTATTTGTTGGGGAGGAATAACAAACATTTTAGTGGTTGCTTGAGTTTTTTTTAAGGAAAGCGGGGGCTGCAGGAGAAGACTGTCAATTTTGGTTGCATTATGTAAATGTAATT